TGAGAGATAGCTCGTTGTTCCCGTTATTTTGTTGTTGTTAGTTGTTCAAAATCGCAGGAATACGCATTGCATTGGTAACACGTTCTATCGGAGAGCAGAGCTTGTAACGCGACTTTTGTATGAATTTATTATTGTGTATAGCGTTGGCATCTTCCACAAATTATACAGATCTACGCTCCGATGTTAAGATAATGGCTACAAGTAAAACCGAAGTTATCCGTTCGATCGGCAACTTTTATTCGAGGCCGTGTGACCCACAGGTATTCCGTTCTTTAGTGTTGGACTAGGGTTAAAGTCGCAGTCGCTAACATATTTATATGTAAAATAAGATGGTGCCCAATTTCTTATTTTACATACATGTCATCTTGCGATGACAGTTGGTTCAAGTAAATCCTTGCGGATTGCCATTGTCGATTTCATTTTCTACAATTATGTAGATTAAATTGAGAGTTCACGCCAGGTCCCTGCAGATCGCTACTTACGTCCCCCTTCCCTATTTTCTTCTCTATCTTTGTGAAATAAAGCACAAAAGGAGAGGAAACTGACGATAGTAAAGTAAGAACTAAAATTAAAAACTGCAAATTTATATACATTAACCAGCTAGTGGCACTCAACACCCCCTCTCTCTGTTTCCTCTCTTTTTCTCTTATTATCTTGGCCCTTACGTGTATGATCTGGTTCCCTGACTATACATAGCAGTTGGACCGACGATAATGGACACAGCACCGAAGGAGGACTGAAGAAACGGTCACCTTAGGATGCTGTGGGAAGGACGTTACCGGAAGATCTCCATAGGCCTGCGGACCTGGATGTTCGTCATAGCAGATATTAAGCTACCCCATGATGTAGTGGAATGGCGCCGGGACTCCCGTAGATCCAGCGAAGGACCAGGAACTCGCCAGCGCATTTGCCAGTCGCCCCAGGATGCTGTACAAGTGTCCCGCCTGTTCGTCAGCGCAAGTATGAGCCGCCCTAAGATTCCGAGGAGGACGCCGCCTGCCTGGACGCCCGTAGATCCAGCCGAAGATTACGAGGACGTCTGGACAAGCACGCAGCCGAGAAGGACCTGAACGAGATCTGCGAGGACGTGTGGACAAGTGCGCCGCCGAGTTAGACCTGAGCGAGGACTACGAGGAAGTCTGGACGAGTAAGAAGTCGAGGAGGACCTGTGTGAGATCCTCGGGTATGTGTGGACATCGAGGATGGACGGATTCACCAAGGACCAGGAAGAAGAGGACGACAAGGACAAGTAACCACGAGGATGGATCGAGGACAGCGCACGCGAGACCGAGATGACCAGCCAATGTAAGAGCGAGCCGTGAATAGGTGGCGAACAATATGACATGCACATAAGCACGATTGGTGTAAGCCATTAGACCAAAAGACCATGCGGGTGTTTACTTTGTCAATTTGGAACTATCACCTTAGCGGGGCCTAGATGACGATTATATCTGACCTCATCTTTCCGACCAGCCAGCCCTGGAGGGCCGCCGGATTCGCGATGTCACACTCAGGGCATCGTCTTCATTAACTGTGTTGTACTTTTCTCCTGAATAAAAGAGTCAAGCCATAAAAGTACTATTACCGCCCTGTTAGCCACTAAATTGAGGCATGTAAAGCCTCTTACACTCTCTTACTCTGTCTCTTAACATCGCACACAACAGAGCGACTTCATATTCATGTATTTGTGTTTGAGTATGCATAAGTGGACGTGATCTATACACACATATACATATGCACATATATACGCATACATATACATACACATACACACACACACACACACACATACACACACACACACACACACACACACACACACACACACATACACACACACACATACACACACACACATACACACACACACACACACACACACACACATACACGCACACGCACGCACACACACACACACACACACACACACACACACACACACACACACACACACACACACACACACATACATATATTGTGAAGGGTTATAAAGAGACCTCTTGTACATTGGTGACAGGACAGTAAAAAAGCTTGGGTGGCTTTACACTCTTTATTCTATAAGAGTTCAGCACACGGTGGACCCGGCAGCTGTTCCACCCGGTATATATATGTTGGAATGGGTTGGAATGAGGTATGAGTATAAAGTGCATCCGGTTGTGGAGTTGTGGTCGTGAGGAGTATAGAGCCACCTCTTGACCAATGCTCCCAGGTCCACTTCAACCCAGAGTGGAACAGCTATCAGGGTCTCATCTATGGGATAATAGACAATGCCTCAATAAAATCACTGTCAGAGAAGACATCGGAAACCACCCTTGCATGATCTTCACATTGTAGGTGTAGTAGACATTTCAGGAAATGAACCTCAGTCCCGTAGATAAGATTGATCATCTTTGGTGAATTAACAGAGAATAGAGGATCATGGAGAAAATAGATGACAAAAAGGACCTGTCTAAGACACAGCACTAGAAGAAGAATATATATATATATATATATATATATATATATATATATATATATATATATATATGTGTGTGTGTGTGTGTGTGTGTGTGTGTGTGTGTGTGTGTGTGTGTGTGTGTGGGTGTGTGTGATTATTTATTTATATATTTACATATACATTCTAGAATATTTACATATACATATTATAAAAATAGAGATTGATAAATGGATATATATTAAATACTCCTTTGAAGCAGTCTGAAACCCCTGACACTTTGATATATTTTTTGATGTTGGTTCGTGGTTACTACAGAACCGATCATCGAAATGTGTTCTGATTTATGACGTTTTGAAAAAGTTTTCTTTATTGCACATAAAATATCTGTAGAAAACCATGAAACTACTTCAGTATGCCTTTTAATTTAAATCATTAGTAAAACATTATGGAACTATATTGACCATATTGTATAATGGTCAATATAGCATGTGTCTATGAAGGTTATACATGTAATATGGCATTAATAGCAATTAACACGGAATTTTCAGAGGGATATCGTAAAATGAAGAAAGTTTAATAAATATGCAAAATTAAGCCTAGAAAACAACAAAATTTATGTGTCATTATTGTAAATGGATGCTTGTAAATGGCATTTTCATTGTAAGAGTAGTCTCCTTATAGCGAGAGTTGAAAACCAATACGATTTAAGCGAAGATACCACCATGACAACTCAAAAGGTAAAGGCTCCAGGCTCCTTGCGCTCATCTGCATAAATCCATAAAGAGGAGCATATATCATTTGATTGAGGAGAGAGAGAGAGAGAGAGAGAGAGAGAGAGAGAGAGAGAGAGAGAGAGAGAGAGAGAGAGAGGGGGGGGGGGGAGAGGGAGAGACAGAGAGAGAGAAAGAGAAAGAGAGAGAGAAAGAGAAAAAGAGAGAGAGAGAGAGAGAGAGAGAGAGAGAGGAGAGAAAGAGAGAGAGAAAGAGAAGGAGAGAGAGAGAGAGAGAGAGAGAGAGAGAGAGAGAGAGAGAGAGAGAGAGAGAGAGAGAGGGGGGGGGGGTCGAAGAGAGGGGGGGAGAGAGAGAGAGGGGGGGGGGGGGGGGGGGTCGAAGAGAGGGGGGAGTGAGGGAGAGACAGAGAGAGAGAAAGAGAGAGAGAAAGAGAAAAAGAGAGAGAGAGAGAGAGAGAGAAAGAGAAAAAGAGAGAGAGAGAGAAAGAGAAGGAGAGAGAGAGAGAGAGAGAGAGAGAGAGAGAGAGAGAGAGAGAGAGAGAGAGAGAGAGAGAAGAGAGAGGGGTCGAAGAAAAATACAAAGAATGAGACTTGAAAGAAATAAAAAACAAATAAGGGAATGGAAAAACAGAAAATGTGTGTGTGGGGGGAGAGAATCTGAAAAAGAAACAGAACGAACGTGGAGTGTGGGGATGGGAAGGAAAGGAGCACGAAAACTATAAGGAAACGTGAATTAGTGGGGTGACGATCGGCGCCGTGCCTCATGTCTTGGAGACAATGTTCCTTCTCAGCACATCCACCGCATGCTGTCCGTACACATTTTATTTGTTATATTGACTACGATGTTTAAACATAATTACTCTGCCAAACTTTTCATGAACGAGGACAGCACGAAACGGGATAATAAACTTATTCTGACATATTATCTTTAAAAATAAGTACTATCAAGCAACGGCGAGGCAGCGAAGAGACAAGTGACAAGACCAAGTAAACACATGAGTTGCTAACTTGTGTTTTTTTCTCGCCTATTACCGCGGTCTGCATAGACTGCTCTTTTTCTCCTTTGGTTTGTTTAAACAGAAATGAATGCTTCGTTGGTTACTTTAATGTATGTGTGTATATGAATGTGATATATATATATATATATATATATATATATATATATATATATATATATATATATATATATATATACACACACACAGACATGTATATTTATGATATATATGTAAATATATGTATATACATACATGCACATCTAGGTTGCACGTCAAAGCTTGTCTATCACCATTATCACAAAAGAACAAATATGGTAGAAAAGCATAAAACAGAGCCATTAGCTTTCGACAAGAACCTCCAGGTTTTGATTCAGAGATTCCATGACCCACAACTGCTGTCGGATGTCATTTGATTTCCGACATTATGAGTTTGTTGTAATTTTAGAAATGTTCCTTCTGTTAGCTAACACTGATATTCATATATTGAGCGGGGAGTAAATCAAGACAGGATACCCATGTATGAGATGTTTTTTTTCCCACTATTATTCGTTATTCTAAAACTACACAGAAAATTAGAATAAGATGTATAAGGCAAATGGCATGGCATCATGCACGAATTCTGGATTCATCAGAAGAACATTGCTATCTTGGGTCTTGACTTGCTTCCGGTGAGGCCGCCATGGTTGGTGTCCCAAATATGAAACTTGTTTAGCGTTTTTCAGGAATGATATTCATTACAGATATTATTTGATATTTTTTCTACAATAGATTACGTTCAATTAAGCTTCTTGAGTTGTTTTTTGTAGTCTTGGTTATCGATGTAAAGATTTTGGCTCCATTCAGGTGTCGTGACGTCACAAAAATAAGGTACGCCACATGAGGGAGGTGAGTCCATGTTTTGTCCAAATTACCCATGTTTTAAGCTATTCTCGGAGTTTTGCGCGTGCAGGACATGTAATGCACAAGGCAGGGGTCTTAGAAAGGCCTGAATTACGAAGCGTCGTATCGAGGAAGTTGAGATAAAGAGAAGAAACGATGGCTGCACTGACGGAGGCCTGTGCGGAACGTTGTCATGGCAGAAGTTTGTTGTGTTATCTTTCAGAATTAATTTAAAGTTTAACTGCCTTCATCTGTTTTACACTCCTTACATCCGCTTCAGAGACATTTTTCATAATTGCCTCCACGTGTCTCTGCAATGGTTTCGCACACTCTTTTTGCCGAGCCGTGTGAATTCAGATTAATGAGGGGAAGAGGCTGGGTGCGGAGGCGAAGTGCCAGCTGGAGGGCCTTAAGCTTTGCCACTGTCACGATTAACAGCTTCGTGACGCTGTCGGGGAAGGCCACCATTGAACTGTATATAAGTCAGAGTATCCTTTGGCCTAATGAGATAACTTTTGTTGT